TTCACAGTCCCTTCCCCATTCTCGTGGCTCCGGGGGGATGGGGACAGGGGGTCCCCTCTGCCCTCACCCACCACAAACACATTCCCCAACTCTGCCTTCAACTTTCCAACTCCTGAGCTCCGTGGTGGAGCAGGTGGTGACGAGCTGGGAATCTCCTGGTGGGACACGATCCAGACCTCAATGTTGCCATGGCTGCAGTGATGCCATGAGAGAACCAGTTTGGGGCTGGACACCCCAAACTGGGACAAGCTGGTGGTGCAGAAAAACCCAGGGAGGAGCCATGGGGATCCAAATTGCTGCCAGGAAGGGGATACACCCATTCTGTGCCAAGAAATGGGAATTTAAGTTTCCCAAAACTTCATTCTCAAAAATTGGCTCCCTCCCAGCTGGGGCACTGTGGCAGATGCTGCCTTGGCAGAGCCATGGGAGGGTTGTCCTGTGCCAGGCAGTTTGGGATGTGACCAGGTGGAATTTTGGGAGGGAGCAGCTTTGCTGCTGGGATAGGGATGCCCAGATACTCCTGCTTGAATGGTTTCCCCCCTTTTGCAGGTCAAGGGGCATTAATTGGGAATATATAAATGGAATTGTGAGTTGAGGTGTGGTGGAGTCAGGCTGGGACAGGGGCTGCTCCAGCTGGGAGCTTTGCTGATGGGGCTTTGCTGCCTCTTGTCCCTGGAGCTGGGGCAGTGCAAGGCCAACGTCAGCACTGCAGATGTTTGCAGATGTTTGCAGATGTTTGCAGATGTGCTGCTGGCCCCAGGTCACCAGAGAGCCCTGGCCACAGTGTCAGCCTCGGCTCCAGCAGGAAACAGAGCTGGTCCTCAGCTTCCTGCTGGATCCATCTCCAGCACGGTGGCCAAGGCTGGCTGGGGGATGTGGGGCTGCCCCAGGGTGTCCCCATCTGTGCCCTGGGTGGGACATTGTGCCACCAGCTGCTGGATCAGGGTCAGGAGAGTGTCTTGTGCAGGATCACTCTTGTGCTGCTGGATCCAGGAGAACATCCCAGTGCAGGGTGGGCAGGCAGGAACCCAGCAGGGATGAGGGGACGCTGGTGGGATCAGGCTCCTCTCCCTGGTTTGAGCTACAGCAGCTTCTGCTTGCTCTTAAAATAGAGCTGGAGCCACAGGAGGCAGTGGCAGCTCAGCCCATCCCATCCCATCCCATCCCAT